TTTTATGTGTATGAGTGTATTGCCTGCGTGTATGTGAGTGCACCCATGTTGCGCAGTGCCAAGGAGGTCAGAAGAGGACTTCGGATTCCCTGGAACTGGAGTTAAGGACTGTTTGTAGCCTCCATGTGGGTGCTGGGAATCAAACCCAGGTCCTCTGCAAGAGCAGTCAGTGCTCTTAACTGCTGAGCCATCTCTCCAGTCCATTAATTATTTTTTTATTTTATATGTATGAGTGTGTTGTGTGCATGTAAATAGGTGCACCCATGTGGTGCAATTCCTGTCAAGAATGTCAGAAGAGGGCACCAGATTTCCCTGGAACTGGAGTTATAGACCATTGTTAGCCACCATGTGGCTGCTGGAAATCGAACCCAGGTCCTCCACTCTTAACCACTGAGCTATCTCCCCAGTCTCTAGGCACCAATATTTTACCTAGACCTATTTGTGCTCTCAGGAAACAATGGGATGAACTAGAGGCCAATTCATGCTCAAAGCAGAAAAGTCTGTTTCTAAGTGTGTTCTTAGGCAACACTGATACACTGAGTTGAAAAATACAAGCCTTTACTTCCTGCCCACCTCTGCCCATCAAGACAAGGTTCAAAGGTGGAAGAAAGTCTTTAACATCACACAACATCAACAAAAACCTCAAAAACATGGCCTAAACAGGGCTTTGGGTTTTCTTTTTGAGATAAGGTCTCATATAGCCCAGGCTGGCCTCAAACTTGCTGTGTAAATAGGCTGACCTTGAATTCTTGATCCTTCTGCTGCAACTGCCCTGGCAAGAGTGAAGATATTTTAAAGAGAGACACAGTGCTGTCAGACAATTGAAACAATGGATTCCAGAGAATTCAGATTTCCCTAGAATCTCAAGTTGGCAGAAGGGAAAAGTCAAAGCGCCTTGGTGCCAGCCAGTGGAAGAACTTGCCTCTCAGGAAGAGATTTCCTGCAGCTCTCTCCACCTTGCAGGAGAGACTTGAAGCCAAGACAGTGATGAAAGAGACCACACCTTGATCAGGACTGCTTAATTATGGGTATCTCTTGTCCTCTGTTTAAACCTAAACTTCATTAGTACCCCAAAGACAGACTTGTGGGGGGCACTGGACCTTTCCCTTGTTCATTTTCCTAGTGTGGTCACACTGAATACACTTTTCCCCCCATTCTCACTGTTGTCTTCTCATTGCTACATTGGGGGTGCTGAGTCTGCTTTGTGGGAACTGCTGGAGCCCAGGCATTGACAACTCCACTAACAATCCTTCCACTCCCCAAGTTCTGGAATTACATGCATGTGCCACCATTTTTTTTCTTTTGTTTTAGTGCTTTGTCAGATCAGTTTATCGTCCTCCTTTATCTTCTGTGGGTGGTACTATAACATGTATTAATGATTTTAAAAGCTAGGTTTCCAGCCTGGTGCACTGTGGCAAGGTTTTAATGCATTGTTTCACTTACTATTTTATATAAAAATTATTCCATCAA